CTGTAAAGCAGGAAAGGCTCAGCCCGAAATACTGTCGTTTTAGGGGTTTAGGGTTTAGGGTTTATAAGGGTTTAGGGTTTAGGGTTTAGGGTTTGCATTGCTTCCACAAGCAAACTCGCTTCATTGAGATCCTGGGCTTAAAGTGCTAGCCCAGGCATGCCTGTAAGAGCGCATGTGAGGTAAGTCTTTGCCCTAAACCCTAAACTTACCCTAAGCCCTAAACCCTACACCCTACATCCCCCCCAAAAAGCCCTAAACCTACCCTAAATCCTAAACCTGTTGCAAGCAGCCTCGCCACGCCGACCTCACGTCCAAGTTCGTTGGGCGGGCGCCCGCCAACGCAGAAGTAGTCCACTACAGGGGTTTGCCCATAGGCCCCATAGTAGTTCCTTTTTTAGGGTTCATATTTAGAATACTGTACGTAAGGTAATCCTCAAAAAGGAACTCCTATGGGGCCTATGGGTAGGGTTTAGGGGTCCAAAAGGCTGTGGACTCCAACCGGGAAACTGGTCGTCTCGCCTCAACAGTACAACGTAAACTGGTCGCTTGGAAGTTCCAGGTTCGGTTGTGAAACCCTAAGCCGTGGTCTCGTGGAAGCCTAATGAGGATCTGCGACCTCTCCCGAAACTACCCGCACCTTAACTATCCACGCATGGGTTCCACAATCAGCAAGAAGTTTCGTCGTGTATCAAAGTAGACCAGAAAGGGAAGCAACAGTTCAGCCAAGTGGTGGTCGACCAACTTGTTATAATGATTCTGAAGGTGCAGCACAAGGTATACAGCAGAAGACGTCAAAGCTCTCACCTCACATGAGAGCTTTGGTTTCGCTCATCTGCAAGGCAACTGAAAGGATATGAGACTGTACAGACTTTCGCAGAAAGCTTGGATAACGCGAGGCCTTAGTATACGGGCCTGGAATTTTAAATGATATCCACTTATACAGCTCTGCTTTGACACATCCCAAAGCCGCATCGTAATTGTCAAGGCCCTTCCTTTACATCCCAAACTTGGGCACCAGATCTTTCGTCACGTCGATATGGCCTAAACCCCAAACCCTAAACCCTAAAACCCTAAACCCTAATCCCTAAACTTTAAACCCTAAACCTAAAAACCCTAATATGGCCAGCAATGGCAGCCTCGTCAGTGGCGAGACAGACATTCGGCAACGATCCCTCGATTTCCTGACGAGGCTCCGGGCGCGGAGGGCTTTTACCTGCAGAGTCGCTTAGGGCTTAGGGTTTTAGGGCCTTTGATAGAGTTGATGAAGGGCTGATGTTTGTTTGGGAACTTAGGTAGCCCAAAAACCCAACTTTTTTGCGGGTTCCTTCTCTATTTTTCAGCTTAATTCCTCAACCCTAAACCCTAAACCCTTAATTCCTCAAAAAGGGAGGGCCCCAGGGCTGCAGGTAGGCCCGAGGGCAGTATCCCCGGCGCCTCAAGTTCTGAACTTGAAGGGTTTGGGGTATGTGGCGGGCAGCTTGGAGGCACTTCAGAGACCCTAAACCCTAAACCCCAACCCCTGAACCAGAAACTCCAAGTCCTTGCCACCATCAGGTGCCTCGTCGAGGCACTCCAATGTCCCCGACATCCAATTGAGGTGGTGGGATGCTGCTTGTTGACGGATTGAATTTGAAGTTTAATGCTCCAGAGGGGCATGGTTTGCTGTTCAGTGCTGTCGTTGCTCCTCATGCTGCTGGTTTTGCAGGCAGCTGCCCCTCCTTATCCTACCTTACTACTACTACAACTACTACTACTACTACTACTACTGCCACTGCACCGGGAAAAATATCGCGCCCGCGTCCGCCAGGTTTCGTTCGCAGAGGTCACAGCCGCAGACTGCGCCAAGGACTTTGAGGCGGACTACCGGTTTCAATCCTGACATCCTGAAACCCCAAGCCGGGTTCATAACCCAGGATGTGGGGGTTGTGGTTTCAAGGTGTTTTTTGGGGCTGGTGATATTAAAAGCAAGGGTTGAAGGGCTTAGAGCTCACGGCTTGCGGCGCCTCGGAGTGAAACCCCATCAAGTCCTTCTTTTCCCTGCTTCGATCTGCATTTCATAAGCCGAAGCAGTACTGACACCAGCGAGGCTGCATGGGCAGAAGTCGCAGCAGGACGCTGTGCTCAGCACTTGGAGGCAGAACCTTTCACACGAACAAAGTGGCAACATACGAGGAGTGTGCAGGGGTCGTAGCACCCACTTTTCTTCATTTTAGCACGAACATGCCAGCAACAGTCCTTTGCAATTCATCGTTGTTCTCGAAATGGGTAGCTGCAGTCGTTCGTGTACATAGTGTACCTTGCAATGAATCGCACGTAGTCCTGGCACTAACAGTACGGACAGCGACAGTTGCGATCGGAGTGCTAGTCGTTGTCCTTGGCCTCGTCGTCTTGTCTTTGCGAGAAGCATTGTTCTTAGCATGACTCTACTGTTGTAAAAATAATGGTTGTGACTGCTACGAAATAATCGTAGCAGTAACAGTATTAGCAGCAGCAGCAGTAGTAGTAGTAGTAGTAGTGGTAGTAGTGGTAGTAGTAGTAGTAGTAGTAGTAGGAGTCGCAGTCGCAGTCGCAGTCGCAGTCGCAGTCGCAGTCGCAGTCGCAGTCGCAGTCGCAGTCGCGGTAGTAGTAGTGCATTGGGCAGGCGGAGTGATTTGGAGCCCGGCACAGCATTATTTTTCGCTGATTTGCTGTAGTTGCATGCCCCATGCTGGGCAATTACAGACTTTCACGGCCAATCTTCGAGACCATGTGGGCGTCCTTTCAGCTGAGTTCGCTTGCGAGGACCGGACCCTGACTGCGTGGATCAACGAGGCGAAGCGGTTGTAACATTTCTCTTTCTCGCATGTGAGGAAGGCCTTAATTACCTCACTACGCACACACTGTATCCTTGCTGCCATTCTTTTCTTCCACTGACCGCGTTTGTTCGAGGAAGAACATCTGAAGCTCATGGCAGATCGCCGCGCAGCTGCGAGTAATGTGGGTGAAACTGCAGGTACATAGTGGTCCTTTGCAGAGCCCGTCTTGTCTTTTCCCTCGCTCTCTCTACAGCCAAGCAACAAGTGCGCGTGATTCGGGACTTGTTCCCTCTCTATTTCGAAGTCCTTCCAGGGGCTGTGGCAACCATCGTGTCACAAACCTGTAAGATTGCACAGCACCTATCATCTTTTCTTCTCAGCAGGAGCTTCGAACCGAAGCCGTTCCGCCGGATCGCGTTTAAAGCTCAAGCAGTGCCACTTGACCTCCCAAGGCCAGGATGGTCAGCTCCTTGGGATGCTGGGAGAGATGGTGCTCGGCTTAGTTGGGGTTTAGGGTTTTGAGATCTTTGGGTAGATGATGCTCAGCTGAGTTGCTGGAGAAGCTGCAAAGATGAGATTTCAGTCGTTGTCGCAGTCATGGTGGCCATGTTCTGCATGGACTTCTTCAAACAGTGCTCCAAATCTTGACATGCGGTGCTTCTCCGGGTTCCAGCATTACATGTACCATTCCGATATTGCATGCTGCCGAATGCACACCTAGATCGTGACCAGGTGGCCGCCCGAGAATCTGCCTGTAGGATTTTCCCAAGCTTTGTGAAAGCCCTTTGCTGTTCTTCATAAGGGTAGTTGTCAAAATTATGGTCCCTTTTGGGGTACCCTAAATAATAGGTGCCGTATTTTAATAAGGACCCAAAAAGGGACCATAGTTTTGACAACCACCCATAAGGGTTGTGTAGGCGGCTAGACCGGATTGCATCACGGAGCGTGGGGTAATTGCAGGTAACTTTGCTATCCACGCTGGAGCGCTTGGCGGGTGGCTTTGCGAAGAGTGACCGTCTAGGCAAGTGAGGGTCAACATCCTGCAAAATCGTCTTTTCTGCTGTTGTTAATCGTCGAGCTGCCGCTGTCGTGTTTTATCGTTGACTGGCTGGCTTTTCCTACCGATGCCAGGGTGGTTGATGCAATCACTTGCTATCCGCGATCCTTTCAACTGTTCTTCGAAGTTACCCGCTGAGAAGGGCAGGTGCTTGCTAGGTAAGAGGCACAAACATCACTCCTATTCTATTTGATATTGCTTCCTTCTTCACGTCCTTGCGCAAAAAGCTGTCGTTGGCTAGCACATTACAAGAGGACACGGCCTTGATGTGAAGGCTATCTGAACTCCTCGCCCGGGAACGTCGGGACGGCCATGACGGCTAGCATGGTGGTCAAGCTACCCTTGCTGAAGCTGATGAAGAAGGCGTGGACCTGTCAGTTGGATCCGAACCCCCAAGTCCCGCAGCTCCAGCTCTTTTTTCCAGTCCCTCCCAGAGTGAGACTGCAGACTTCGAACTGGCGCCGCTGGCTTTTCGAAGGATCCTTCCTGACCATATCATCTGTGCTAGGTGAAAAAGCTTGGGGTTGTGAACTCCAAAGTCCACACTCCCAAGCCGGATTCTCAAAGCCTCAACTGTAGCCATTTTGGCTCAAGAAGCTTATCGGCGCAAGCGCGCGCAAAGTCGTCATGGCTGATGCGTTGTGCAAGGACAGCGAGTCCTCCGACGGCTACGAAGAAGGTTCCACGGATGTGGAGGAGCAGAGTGATGCCGCATTGAATTCCGACAGTGACTATGACCCTCCTCCTGTGCGAGTACTCCTCCTGGCGTTCATGTTCATGTTCCAGGGCTACGGAGCCATGGTTGGGGCTCCAGTGCATGCATTGAAGCATAAGCTGGGCGTCCATGGGAAGACTATGTCCGCGGAGTTCCAGGAAGCAACTGCAACCTTTCAGTTGGCCAAGATGGTCATGCGAATCTGTCAAATTGCTTTCCTCGTATTCACGGACCCTGTAGGCATTGTGTACACATCCTACGTAGTCATGATGGCCGCGCTCCTGGTCCCCATGGTCTTTGTGTGGGGCGCAGGAGTAACGGACCTTTGGGTAGTTCGGCTGCAGTACATCCTGGGAGGTGTGGCCGTCGGCCTCTTTGAGGGCACCTTCCTGAGATCAGCTCGCTCGGGAAGAACACCAAGACCTTTGCGATCATGGGAGCTCCCCTGGGGTTCTTTGTGAACAACACAATCCTGGGACTGCTTAGCTACTTCGGGATGCCTGTGATTGTCTATTATGCCTACAATGCGGCATGCTTGCCCATTGCGATCTGGATCTTCCACACAAAGCGGCCAAGAGAGGTCGTGGCTGTGAAAAGCAAAGGCAAGGGCTGCAAAGTCTTCTGGAACTCCCTGAAGTGCTGGCTGGACTGGGTGCCCATCATGATTCCGTGGTTCGCCGCAAAGTTCATTGGAAACTTCGTGCTGGAGGATGGTTTTCCACTCCTCTTCAACACTTTCAACTGCCCGAAGGTTCCCATCATCGGTGGCCCTGAAAGCGAGGATCACTTAATCCCGTTCGACCTCTACACATCTCTTATCTGGTTTCCCTGTATGGCTGCTGGCGACACAATTAGCCGACGGGTGCCGCAGTACTTGGATGTTACGTCCAAACGAAAATGCTTTCTGTACTTGTCTCTTGGGATTTTCCTCTCCGTGGCTGGGGAAGCCCTGGACTTCTTGCTGCTGGCTCTGGTCACGGCTCTCGCAGCCTTCATTGCCAACTTCGGCAACGGCTTTATCTATGGCCTGTCTGCCAAGTTCATCGACTGGGGCATTGCGGAGGAACATCGATACGCAGCGTACAACCTGTGGTGCTTTGTGGGTGACGCTGGTGGATATGCTGGCCAGGGGCAGTTATCGGTTTGGTTGGCTGACCAGGTCTGTGAAGGGCGGCACTTTACCTGGGTTTGTCAACTCGGACGTCTGCTGCTGTGATGCGGAGGGTGTGACGTAGCTGCCGTTCGCTTGCGTAGCGACACAAGGGCCAACGTCCAAGGCATGTCATCATATCCATGTCTCGGATCGGGATTCCTGGTGAAGCCTGCAGCACCGTTGCAGCTGTGGGAAGTCTCGTGTACCCACATGCTGACCGACTCCCTGCCATCGCTTATGTACCTGAGCCGTCCTGGCTCATCAGTTTACCCTCTTTTGGCCTCTCTTATCTCTATGACTATGTCTCTTATACTGCACCTTACACCCCGACTCAGCCTCCTCGGCGTAGTCACCGAAGTCCGCCAATTAGTTACAGAAGCAGTGTGGATTTTGGTGCAGACACATGCGGCATCGTCTGCTTAGAGGTTTTCTATACTAGGGTCCCACGTGCTTGGTTCGACGCATGTGAAGCTGTTTCACTTTGCAGACCTCCCATCATACGCCTCGCCTGGATTGTCCGAGTGTGAGCGCCGAAACCCTCAACAGCTGTCTGTCTCTCATGAACCAGCTACCACGCGTGCAACATTGACATCTGGTGGAGTATTCGTGCAGTAATAATATGCGACACGTGATATGATTGTACATTCTACTCATATGCAATATATTCAGTTTTCAAAGTCTAGTTATAAGTACTAGCCGGATGGTAGAGACCGACGCCCTTGTACACGAGTTGTGATAGTCATGTCTACTACCCCTCAGGGTCAGACTCCCTGAACTTTAGTCTGTGTTGCGAGCCATCGAATGCGCACAAACCTCCTGTAGCAGCAGCCACAAACATCCAATATCATGATTTGTCTGCTCTTTCTCCCCTCCTGCGTCGTCTTATCACATGACGGGCATTTAGCCGCCAAAGCCCAATGGGGGTTTCAGAAAATAGGGGACCCTAATACAGTACCCTAAATTTTGGGATTCTTATTATACGGACCCCAAAATAAGGTACCCTAATGGTCAGAAACTCCCCAAGACCTACAGAGGAACGCCTAAGAATGAGCAGGAGCTCGGAGCTTGGTGCAAGTCCAAGGATCTCTTGGCTCGTGGCGAGCTGAGCTCGGAGAAAGATTGCTTTTTTTTTTTTTTGTGAGGGTTTAGGGTTTAGGGTTTAGGGTTTAGGGAGGGTTGATGCGGCTGTATGCAGCTGTTCCATAGGCCGAGGGGTCCATCATTATTGGCCTTCAACTTGCTCTCATCTTCTTCTTGTCATTGCTTCTGGTCCGTGTTTCGCACATTCGAGTTCATTTGTCATTATGAACTGTTGCGACCATCCCCTTAGCCACCCTGCTCTGTCTTTCGCAGCCCTCACATGGACCGTTAGAAGCGTCGTTCGCCACCACTGCCATCACCACGAGTAGCATGATCGCGATCGCCGTAGTCGTCGTCGTCTCCACGCCCATCGCGATTACAACTCGTCATGGCCAGGATCATCAGCATCGTCGTCATCATCCTCGCCATCATCGTCTTCATTGAAATGTCACCATATCCTTCGTCTCCAGCGTGTTGACTCTCTTGCTGCTTCTCTTGCGATCGTGCTCCTACTCTGCTGTTGTTGTTGTTGGCGGTAGCAAGAGTGTTTGTGGTTACATGGGCTTGTGAGGCGGCGCCCTTGACGAGCAGGGGCTGCGTGTAGAAGGCCTTGTGGAGCTCTCGCACCGGCAGAAGCTCGGTGTGCGCGAGGAGGACCGGCAAGGGTGTAGGCTTCAGGCGCAGATCCTTACAGAACACTGCCCCGTGTGGCTGACACCTGTAGAACGAGATGAAGCTGTAGGAATAAGCCATGGCCAGCTCCCTGTTTGACATGTCTGCGTTGAGTGGAGCTTACCGCTGCACTTGCAAGTGTATGGCTGTCGCACTGAAGGACATGGTGAAGGAGCTCATCCAGCGGGTGTCGGAGCTGATTCGCGCCGAGAAGTGCATGGAGCGTGGGATGTCTGCTGAGGCCAGGGCCTCAGGGCCAAATCAAGGAGGCCAAGTCACTAGTCAGATCAGGGTGTGCAGTGTAAGTCAACCGGATATCCTGCACCCGGATATCCGGGCCGCAGGCTGCCTTCGATGCTGTTGCCCCACGGGAACTTACGCCAGTAGGCGTCGGGGGACAAGTTGTGCAGCTTCAGACGTATCTTCTCCAAGGGTTGGTTGCCGATGGATACTTTGCTCTTTCAGGTCTCGCGTGCATGAAGTGGCAACAAAGCCTGAAACTCAAGCTTCAAGTCTTCGTGTTGGTCCCGGAAGGTGCAGAAGACGAGGACCGCATCTTCCGGAACAGCTGAGGGCATCCCCGGAGAATCTGCACTACCGTCACATGGGAATCAACTTGGAGGGCTAAGCCATGCGCAGATGCTTGGTTTAGGGTTTAGGGTTTAGGGTTTCTAATCAGATGCTAGTCACAGCAATTTCCTGACCTTCCCCGGCCGACTCTCCAAGCCCGGATGCAAAAAGGGTTTAGAAACTGCTTCATGTCGTCGTGCAGGAGTATCCCGGTGTGGACGTTTGGGCACATGTGGGGGACCAGCTTGGCGACGCTTGGCCATAAACCCAAGCCTTCTGGCCAAGCGTTCTGATGTCGCGCGACCAAAACAGTAGTTCTCTAAGTTGGGGGCCCTTCTGGGTACCCTATATATTCGGTGCCGTGTCATATTCGGACTCAAAATGGGACCCTAATTTGCCCTCAACCCTTAACCCTAAACCCTAAACCCTAAACCCTTGACTAGTTGTGAGTGCTGAAACCCTAAACCCCAAAAGGGAAAAAACAAATTGTAGAACTTCCCCTTCGCAGTTTTCTGTTTCGCCAGTTTGCGCCTGCAGTCTCTGGAGGCCCGAGGGCCCCTACTTAAAGGATCATGGGACTTAGTAAGTAGGGTTATAGGGTTTAGGGTTTTTGGTTTTAGTTTAGGGTTTAGGATCATGGGACGTAGTAAGTAGGGTTATAATTCGGGTAACTATACTTATAACAGCAATTGAGAGACTTATAACCTTACTTACTAAGTCCCGTGATCCTCCAAGTACTACCCGAGATCACTCAGAGCCGAAACCTTAGAGCCCAGGGTGCAGAACGGAGCTGCCGGAGACCTATTATTATAGTTATAAGTATAATTATTATTATTGTATTATATTATATTATGTTATATTATAGTATATTATAGTATAGTATATTAGATTATATTATTATAATGATTATGGCACCACCCAAGCCCTCGAATTCCCACCAACGATCTAGGTACCGTAGACACGAGGCAGAAGGGGATCATTTACCGGCGGTTTCTGGCATGAGCAAGAGAGACAGAGAGAGACAGAGAGTGTGTGTGTGTGTGTGTGCGTGTGCTGTTCCTTGGTTGTGTGGAAGAGCACCAGTGCCCGATATCAACGACACTTGCAGCAGACATCGAGTTATTTAGATGTAGATGTACGCAGACACCTATGCTGTGGCCACGTTCCAACTGTTCCCGAATGAAGGTGCGCAACTAGAAGGAATGGGGAGTGAGAGTGCAGAATAATTTCTGCGAGGACCCCTCCTTCAGTCAGAGTGCTTCACATCATCCGACTACGCACGAAGAACCTCACCTGGCTTGAGCGCTGACTCCCTAAAGAGCTGCCGGAGCCCAGCGAAGGAGATGCTCAAGGGCTACGTGGCAGATGCCAGCCTCGATGAAGTGAAGGCCCGGGGCTCCTGAAGCAGGGGTTTCTAGCTGGGACTTTTTTTGCGGTTGTGGCATTATTCGGGTAGTGGGGTTGAGGGTAGCAGGGTGTTGGGGGGGCAGGGTTTGGATTTTAGGCGTAGGTTACTTTCTGCAAGATTTTCGTGTTACTATGGAAAAGCCTGATGAGCAAACTCTATGTATTATTATTATTGTTATGTATCTAATTAATGTATGTACGCATGTACGTACGCATGTATGTACGAATGTATGTACGTATGTATGCATATATATGTATGCACGATATGTGCGTATGGTCATGGTCGTAGCGTGAAGGCCACAAGCGCACACAAACGAGTGCTGCTGTGCATGCTGGCCTCTGTCTGTCTCCTAGGGTGTACTCTTCTGAATGTACAGCTATCTCAGGGTCCAGGGCATCTAAACCCGAGTGTCTTTCATGTCAACCTCGCAGTGCTCGGCGAGCGTGACGCCTTGAAAGCCGCTCTCCAAGTATCCAAGAGACCTCCCAGCCAAGCGATTTGATCATCTCCGGCCTCAAGAGTGGCCTTGAACCCTGCAAGTCTTTCGGGCCTCGGTTGATGGACCAAAGCCCCAAACTGACGGAGAGGGGCCTGGAAAAGCATGGCCAAGCCCCTGGACCTGACCCGAGATCTCCGACATACTCCCTTCGCGAGGTTCGGGTTGGCAGAGCGCTTATGGCCTCCTCCATATCGGGATGTTTGGAAACTGCAGCGCCATTCCTGAAGGCCTGTTGCAGGGTAAGGCTGATGGCATTGCGATCAAGATTCCAGGCTTCAGGAAGTGGGCTCAGGGGCGGGTTGAGGGTCTAGCGAGCGTTTCGAGAACACTTGGGCAGCAGCAGTAGCAGTAGTGGTGGTAGTAGCAGGATACAGCTTTGCTGCCATTATCATCTCCGTCACCACCATCATCTACATCATCACTGCCACCACCCACTTTCACCGTCAGTTCCCTCTCATCATGGAGGACAGCAGTTGACAACACACGCCAATCCTCCCCCTTGGATGCATGCCACTCCCAAAGGCCGCTCCGATGGCGGCTGAAGTCAAAGGGACCCAGGCCCGTCGCAGTCGTCCTTTGGTTCGGGGTTTAGGGTTATGGCTTACGGTGAAGGGTCTTTATGATGCTTCCAGGCGTGAACTCGGCAAGCCTGCGGAAAAAGAAGGGGTTTAGGGTTTAGGGGGCTCTGCGCATGAGATTGGCGCGCCTCGGGAAGCCAGCAATTTGGGACGTCATGTGCCGTGCTCCGTGAAAGGACACTGCGATTGCCTTCAAACACCTTCCATCGGTCGGAAGCAACCTTCTGCCACTGCCACTACCGCTGCGCAACTTGGAGGATGCAGGGACAGTGAGGGTATGTCCCCGTTGAAGCAAGCTTAGCTGTTTCGTGCTCCGTTGCTTTCAGCCACCTTCCATGTTTTTGCGAGGAGGAGGAGCGAGAAAAGCAAAAGGCAGAGGCGGCCGCGAGAATCCAGGCCAGGTGTCACATGCCTGGGGCGGGCCTGTTGTGCCGGCCTCACAGACCCCGATTTGGGGGTTCCGAAAATAGGGGACCCTAATGTAGTACCCTAAATAGTAGGATCCTTATTATAAGGACCCCCAATAAGGTACCCTAATTTTCGGAAACTCCCATTTAGGGCTTGGGGCAGCTGCTGCGATGAGGGTCCTGAGCTTTCAAAGCCTTGCAGTCCAGTCATTGCAGTGGATGTGAAGGGTTGTTCGGTGAGTTCCCTGTTTCATCACCGTAGCGTAGCAACAGAGATGTGCTTGCTGCCGTTGAGAGCTCAAGCGAAGATCCGCATTCTTGCAGACATTAGTAATTAGTTCACAGGATGCAAAACATCGAGCCCGTGCAGCGGACCGTTCCAGCCATCGCATGGACACTCAGAGCAACAGGTTAGGTCTCGAATTCCCTTGCAGCAGCTTGCCTCCCATGCGATGCCTCCTAGTATCGACACCCTTCGATTCAAGGAGGTACCCGCAGACGCTCCCTGGGTCTTTGTTTTCGATGTGTGCCTGCAGCGGCCCATCGACCCGGCGCCCGACCCGCCGAAGCCGAAGCGGAAGAAGAGGAAACGGGCCCGGGAGCCATCCCCAAAGGCTCCAAGCGAGCACGGCTCTTCAGACTCCGAAGTCGAGGGCCTTGAGTATGTGATTCAGCAGGCAGAGAAGGGTCGTTCAGCCATCGTTTCACTTTGGAAGCAAGGCAATAGTGGTACGAAGAAGAAGGCTGTTCCGCGCACTGTCCCTGAAAACATAGGGCTGAAGGTCTTCGAGTTGAATTTTCGAAACTGGCTGGCGAACAACGCCCTGGCAGAGTTTTTGGATCGTGATGCAAGTCGAGATCCTCCAGCATCTCAGGGCAATCCGGCCTTTCCTTTCCTCTACTACAGGTATAAGCCTTCTTGCTCACCGGAGAATGCGCAGATACAGCCGGGCGAGGGGTGGAAGCAGGCATATCATGGAACCTGGTTTTATGGACTGCGTAGCATCTTGCACTATGGTGTGTTGCTGGAGTCTTGGGACAAGGAGAAAGGTCACAAATTTACGCGTCCGGGACTCTACTTGGCATCATGCCTGGCCCCGTCGATCTGGTATGCGAGACCACATGACCTGTTCAAGGACGGGATGTTCCATCGGGTCATCATCGAAGTCCGCTACGATGAGTCGAAAGTGCTAGCGAAGCTCGGGAAAGCTGGCAACACACTTGTTATCAAGAGTGATGATGTTGCGATCACTGGGGTGATCATCCAGCCCAACTCTCCGCCGTACGGCGGCGAAGAACGTTGTGAGGGTTGGGACGACTCGCTCCAGATTCTGCCGCGACCCCGTGTCTGCGCTCGCCGTCCCCGCCAGCGTCGCGCCCGCAAGCAACTGTCTGAGGCCGAGCGGGAGGCACAAGAGAAAGCGGAGCATGAGCAAGCCAAGCGTGACCGTGAGGCTCAGCGCATCCGCATGCAGCAAGATCGCCAGGCTTGGCGCGAGCACAACGCTGAGTGGGAGCGCGAGGCTTGGCGGGAACGTGATGAGCAGCGCGAGCACGCGAGGCTGCAGCAAGAGAGCGGTCGCGGCGCTTTGTCTTCTCGTGACTTTGCTCCTTTCAACGCCTTCGGACGCTCCCCTTCGCCTCGCCAGAGTCGCAGTCGGAGGATGAGGTCAAGCCTCTCGGAGAGCCCAGCTGCTTCCAGAAAACCTGAGAGCAAAAAGGTGCATTGCATATTAAGTATGCCATATAATCTCTCATCACCATCTACCCGGACAGTAGTGGGGTGCGGAGTGGAATGTTCCATCATCTGCTGCAGGTCCTAGGTCTAGATGGTTTCTGCGATGCTCACTCGTACTGCTTCCCTTTCGCCGAGAGCCTTCTCGATGGGCTTGGAAGTGAAACCAACAGCATCCAACAGCAATATAGATTGAAAGAAGTTCCGGTTGCAGAGCGTGTTCATGGACAAGCCGCCCGGGAGGGAACTGGACTCTGTGGTGCACTCCCACTGTGTGTGTGCTCAGGCCCATCTAAGTGAAACTCCGAGCCCCAACGCCGCAGATGTTGCTAGCCAATGTTCCAAGCACCTAGGACCTAGCAGCCGTCCTGACAACTCTCATTTTGTTGTAGATATCGGTTATCGTTTTGGGAGCGAGAGGCAGGCGAAAAGCCGAACGTGTCAAGTCGACAGGCCATCCAGCGCGGTCGGGCGCAGCGGGCCGAGGCCAAGGCCAAGGCCAAGGCCAAAGCCAAAGCCAAGGCTCCGGCGAAGGCTCTGCCGACAGAAGAGGCCGGGATACAAAGCACTGGCTCTTGAACGTGGGGAGTAGTAGAAGCAATAATAGCTAGCATACTCATAAGCACCAGGCACTCCATCGCACTCCGTGCCACCGCAGCATTACAAAACAACTTCGGAATTCAGCTGCTCAGCAGTACTCAACCCGAAGTCGCTTCGGAGAGAAGAAAATATAACTTTCAAAAAGGCTCTCCCCCCAAAAGCATGACAACCTTCATCAGTACAAGACTGCTGTAAAAACACGCCATGGCACAGAGACGACGACTCTTGCGGCGGCAGCAGCAGCAACAGCAGCAGCATCATCGGCAGCAGCAACGCTGATAGTAAGGATTGCAGCCTCATGTTCTTGGTTGTTGAGCGCATCCGTTGCATTTTCTTCATCGTTTATTACTCGTGCTGAAATTTGTCCAACTTATACACTCGAACTTGTGACAGTTCTGTCAGTTGTTTTTGTGGTCGTTGTTGATGACGTTGCCGTGGTTGCCGCCGTCGTGGTTGTCTCTACTTGCTCTACTTTATGTTGCGACTGGCAGCCTGCGTTTTGTGTTGTGGCAGTGTCGATAATGGTGCGGTGCTGCTGGTGCTGGCGGTGGTGCCGCTGCCGGTGGGCATGACCGCATGATCTACAGGAAGATCGGGATGCTTCTGGTTTTCATGAAGCAGACGTTGATGGTTTTGCTAATTGTAATGGCGATGGGGTCACAGCCCGTTCATGCTCCTACTATAATTATGTCATGCTGTTGTTACAATTTGAATCTTACGGGGCGGAACATATACAGTGTCAGACGATGACGATGGTGATAATGGAGTGTCTTCTTTCCTACCTCCCCGTGTTTCAATTTACAGACCTGTGTGCCTGTACATGCTTCTGATGTTGTGCACATGATGTGCATGCCCGGGAGTTGCCGAAGCTTCTACATAATGGTGGCACTTGCAGTCATAGCAGCAGTTGCTTGGAGTTTGCACAGGAAATGGAACAGCGCAAGGCGCTGCTGCGAACAGCGCTGGAGGGTGCACTGGAGGACCCCTTTCCGGTAAGAAGTCCATGGGAACCAGGGGCGCTATTTCGAGGCACACATATCTGTTTCCACCCCAAAGCGTCCAAGGGGAAAGAGACTGACCGAGTGCCTTCCGTCCTGAGGTTGAAGCCATTAAGAATTAAGACCGCAAAGAAACCCAGAGACTTGTTGGCTGCAAGGATGGTACATTGGAGCGCGTGCTGTCGGAGGCAAGAGGGCATGTCCGCTATGTCCGCTGTGTGCCTTGCACTGCGGGCCGACAGAGTGGAGTGTGGATGTGATGGGACTTCGATTCAAGTTTTGTTCCGCGCTGGGGTTAGCAGGCGACTTACGGCACCGACACAGATCAAATCTCTCAGGCCAGCTCTCGCTTCGAGTGTGGTTTGGAGTCTGGTTACACTCTGTAGTGTATTTGCTGTGCAGTCCGTGCGGTGACTGGTTACTGTTGAGGACAAGGAGGCTGCCTTTGAGAATCTTCGTCAGAGGCTGGCGAACGACCTGATGCTTGCAGCAGAAGATGGACGACTTGAGCAGATCCTCACTCGGCCAAAGGCCGACAAGACGGAGATGATTCGCAAGAAGATGGCAGAAAGCATGCTTGCTGCCGCTGAAGACGGCCGGCTTGAGAATGCCCTTGCTGAGGAGCAGAGGAAGCAAGATCTGGAGCGCGTGCGGAAGGCCACGGCCGCGAGCATTCTTGCAGCTGCAGAAGACGGGCGATTGGAGCGCACATTAAGCAATTCTGAGCAGAGGAAGCAAGATCTGGAGCGCGTGCGGAAGGCCACGGCCGCGAGCATTCTGGCAGCTGCAGAAGACGGGCGATTGGAGCGCACATTAAGCAATTCTGAGCAGAGGAAGCAAGATCTGGAGCGCGTGCGGAAGGCCACTGCCGAGAGCATTCTCGCAGCCGCAGAGGACGGACGATTGGAGCGTACGTTGAGTTCCGAGCAGAGAAAGCAAGACCTCGAGAGGGTGCGGAAGGGCACGGCCGAGAGCATTCTGGCAGCCGCAGAGGATGGGCGACTGGAGCGCACATTGAGTGGCGAGCAGAAAAAGCAGGACCTGGAGCGGGTTCGGAAGGCAACGGCCGAGAGTATCCTTGCAGCTGCAGAGGACGGGCGACTGGGAAAAGCGCTGACTGTAGAGAGAAAAAAGCAAGACATCGAGGTGGTGCGGCAGAAGGCAGGAGTAACTTTGTTGGCTGCTGCCGAAAACGGAAGACTCGAAGTGGTGCTGGCCCAAAGGGGCGAGGAAGTGGAGCTAGGGCGAGTTCGCAAGAAGATCGCTGATGGCTTGCTCCTTGCAGCCGATGACGGAACTCTTGAAGAAGCACTGGCCCGAACCATGCAAAAGTCAAGCGACCAACATATGGAGGACCGCTTGTCGAAGTGCCCTCCCAACAGCCAGAGGCTTGCATCGCAAGACGAGTCATGCTGTCAGTTTTTGTCTAGCTTGCACAGGACATCCGCAGCCGCATGGCCACGAGCTTGCTGGAAGCGATGGAGAATGGCAGCTTGGAGCTTGCCTTCCAGGAGTCCGGACAAGTCGGCAAAGCACCTTTGCAGGACACTACATCTACAGCCCTCACAGGCCTGCCTTCCGACATGCAGCACACAGGCATCGTGGCTTTGGCAAATCAGACGGCCAAGAGTCACTTGGCCGGGGCACGGGAGGAAGTGCCTCATGGTGCCGCTGCGGTTCAGCGGGCCTTGATGCAGTACGAAAGAAGGACCTCGCTTCCGAGTCATGGCAGTCATGGCGCCTGAAGCATCACGACACAAGTCCTCCTTGTTTTGACAGCTGAAGTTGCCACCATCCCGGCAGGATAGGAACCCTCACAGCAGCCGTGCAGCAGGCCGAGGGATGCAGATGCTCAGTCCGTCCAAGCAGTGTTGCAATCAGTCACGTGGCACTTGACTCCAAACGTCTACGGCTCAAGGTGCTTTCAAGTAGTCACACTGAGGCACACAGGCAGAGGGGTAGCCACAGGTCGTAGCACAGCGCGTGCTTCGGCAGTCTACCCATTGAGTGCCCTCTGCCTGGTTGCCATGTCACGATGATGCTGTCGGCGACTTCTGGAATGGTTACCGAACGAGGTGGTGTTGGCTTCACATTGCATCGGTCGGAGACAGTTGCCCAGTCCGCTGGGCAGTTGGATCGCAAGAACTCTGCAGCATCATCGCGGGCTCGGGGGCGCTCGTCAGGCTTTGCTTGCATGCACAATGTGGGCTACAAGCCCTTGGGCGCTCCGGTGACACCAGAAAGAGTCGTCGAGATGCAGAACTCATCCTTCGCCAACATGGAAAAGATTCAGCAGTCTGTTGGGCAGGATGCCAGCTCGAATCAGGAAAAGAAAGACAAAGAGCGCAAAGGCCGCAAGGAACAAAAAGTGGAAGCTCGGAGTCTGCCGGATTCGCGAGATTTCAAGGATGAAGAGGCTGCCGCAGAAGGTTTGGAGGCCGACTCCACAGGGATGCAAAGCCTTTCCCGCCTTCCCCATGCACTCTATGGGAAAGACTTGCCCCGTTGTGGACAAGCCCAGGAACGGCAAGAGAAAGATGGCTTCAAGGAGCTGAAAGTGCACATAAAGAGCTCATCTCGAAGGGTCGAGCTGGTGAGGATTGATGCAGATGCTGCCTATGCGGCTAGGAGCGACAACGCGAAGTTGGCGCTGGCAACCTCGAGACACTGGGCAAAAGCTGCATCGGATGCTGGAAGTGGAAGTGTGTTCCTGACGTCCTTGGAGGCTCCCCAGTCGGCTCGGGAGAGAAGACAGCTACCCAAGGCCTCTCCAAAGCGGGCGACGTGGTTGCCATCCCTGTCCGAATACCTGGCGAATGGTGCTGGGCTCCCGGCATCGGGGCGGGCCGAACTTGCCGACGTGGGAACGACCCACAAGATCGCCTCAGAGCTGCTTCCCTTGCCACAAGGCACACGACCAAACTATGGCAGCCTATTTCTGCTTGACGAGGGCAAAGCTGGCTCGAAGGATTTCAAAGACCGCCTGAAGGAGCACCGAAAACTTTGGGAAAAGGATCTTGCTGGTGCATGGAAGGAGAAAGCATTTTATCAACGGTGTCAACCTTTTGTTGCACCCAAAGACGTTGAGGAGATGCGCCAGCGCTGCCACGAGGACGACTACATGCAGGCGGCCATTGAACGCCACGTGAAAGATTTGGAACGCCACCTCAAAGACTCCGGAATCGAAGCGCCACGGGGAGCCGACGAGCCGAAGGGCCTGCCTGCAATCAAAGTGGACGTGGATGCGAATGGTATGCCCGGCCCATCTGCACCCACGAGCCCAGCGCAGGATGCCACGTTGCAGGAGAAGCGCCGAGCAGATGCCGATGACGATCAGCGGATAAGTGAGCCGGTGAAGCTGGTGGCTGCTCGCTCGAGGAATCATGCGATTCATCAGAAGGCCCTCGCTCAGCTGCGTGAGCCAGATCGGCAGAAGAATTCGCTGATCCTGCGGCAACAACTGAAGGAATACCAGGAAAAGCGTGACGAGGCACGCAAGAATTTGCAGGAGACTCTGGAAAGCCAAGCAGAGTCCAGGATGGTCTCCCTCGAAGCTCCTAAACGGAAATCCTTGGTGTCTCATGTCGAGACCAGTGATGGCCAACAGCATCAGTGGTACCGCTCCCTTCTTGAACAGATCCGGACAGAGCTGGCCACAGCAGATGTCCCTAAGGCCATGTACATGTTGCTGGACTCGGTGAAGACAGTGCTAGACGAAGGAGATGAATTTGAAGCCGACGACTTCTGGCAGTGCATTTCTGAGCTGCGAGCTGACGATGTGACTTTTGCCATGGCATCCCTGCTAGGATCAGTGATTCATGGCGTGGGTGGTTTGACCGGTCCTTCAGTGGTGCGAGCTTTGCAGCAGCAGTGTGGCAACTTGAATCCGGGGGTGGCCGACGTGCTAAACGCACAGTAGCTCGATTTTAGGTGAGATTTATTAGGCATGATGCCGACATGAGCTGGTGGACTTTGCCAGCCTGCCCTTTGCTTATTTGGTACTGTTAGAGTCGCGTCCAGGCATGTGGCGAATGCCAACCATGTGCGTCGCGGTTTCACTTCTATGTGTGTGGTGCCTCAGCCTATGGTTCCAGCCAATCTTGCTCAACCCTTTCTCGTCTCTTCTCAGCGGGGCGCTGCATGCAGCCACAGGAATCGTGCCCGAACACCGTGCACTCCAACCCGTCGATCTCCGCGCAAAGCGCTGCTGTTCGGACCCATAGCTTAGAGGTGAAAGGATGGCATGTCCGAGGGATCATTCTCACTTCAAGCAGAACTTTAAGGCGATTGACCAGTGATTGACCTCCACTTGCATCATCCGAGTTGTGAAGCTGAGTTACTAGCAATAATACCTCCTCAATGATTAATATCTGCATATATATATATACACATTTATATACATGTATAAGTATATACTGTATATATATATATATATACACAACCCTGATTGGAAAGCAACCTGAGCCAGCAAGAGATGGAAGTTGATAGTGTATGATGCCACTATCCGTAGCAAACTTTTATATGGGCTAGAAGCTATCCGCTTAACCACTGCTATGGCACAGAAGCGAAATACGTTCCAAATGATGGGCATTCGCAAGATAGATGGTGCAAATGCCACCCAGAGCGTTTAGAAGAAGCACGTATGATCGCTTTTCCAACGCGGGACGACCGACGACAAATACTATTATTTAGTGAGTTCCGTAATCGAAGACGCGCTACGCTCTTAGGTCATATACCTCGTTGTACAACTTCAGCTCCGGTATCGTTTCTGCCCGGCAGTGCCACCAGAATTGACTATGGCAAGAAGGCAAGAAGTGAGTTGGGAAGCCGCGGCAGACTTGTATACATCATTATACATCACACAGAAGTTTGTGTTGGAAGAGACGCTTGGAAGAATATCGTATCAAGAAACCCCGGCACAAGGTAATCTCATCTATAACGCAAGTTTGCAAAGACAATTTTGAAGCGTCTGTAGAGGGTAAGCTTCGTTTTGCTGCTCCAGCGCCGTGTTTTGAAGTTGCCGTACAGTCGATTCACGGTATTGGCTTTGGAGGAAGAAGAAAAATATATATGTAGATACATACTATAACATGCCCCGGACCTTACTTAAATTCGTAGGTCTGAACTCTCTTTTGCACGTTTTTTCCACAATTTTTTGGGCAGGCTGAGCGCGGCGTCCTGGAACGCATGGCTGAAACCAATTCTCTGGAGGCTCCAAGCTGCACAAAAGTGGATCTATATCGGAGCCCTATACCAGTGAGAATGGTCTTTTGGGTAATATTATAGTTCATAGTAGATGTATTGGGGAAGTTTTCAGGAGACGATCGGTGCGATGAAGATGGTGATGGTGTTGGCGATGTGGCAATGACGCTGGCTGCAGTCATGATGGAGGTGATGATGGTGTTGACGTTCGTGGCGGTAGCCATGGTCGTGATGACTGTGGTGATGCTGGCTCTGGTGCTAAAGTTAGACCACCGTGATGATGACGACGAGCATGACGACAGCTAGCTGGTGACACTCCACGAGCACATGGACACACAGAAAAATGCGATTGAGTCAGCATGACACATGGAAACAGCCATGCATGATGCTGCTGATGATGATGATGATGTGGTGATTATGGTGGTTATGGTGATGAATAAGATGGAGATACGTGGGCCATCATACCCATGGTGGCAAAGATGTTTGTGATGATGATGGTGATGATGATGATGATGATGCTTGTGGTGTCTATGCCATTGCCGATGATGCCAATGATGATTCCGCTACCGCTCATTGCTCATCGCCACTCCAGGCCAGATCGTAAGAAAAGACCATGTGATGATGGTGCATTTGAAGTTAGGTGATGATAGGTTTGCAGTGCTGTAGTGATGCTGATGCTCCTTCCAAGATGCTCGTGAAGAGGAGTGGTACCGACGACAAGCCGGCTGTTGCCAACACTGCCTGGGACCACCACTAGCACGACCACTGCTGCCGCTGCTCCTGTTCCAACTCCTACTCCTACTCTTACTCCCACTACTACGTACTCCTCCTCTCCTGCTGCTGCTACTACTACTACTACTACTACTACTACAACTACTGCTACTGCTACTACTGCTACTATTGCTACTACCACGACGACGACGACGACGACTACAACGCTACTAGTGCTGCCCTGCTGCTGCTGCCACTACTACTGCTACACCTCCTCCTCCTCCTCCTCCTCCTTCACCTCCTCCTGCTAGCACTACGACGACGACGACGACTGCTGCAGTACCACTACTGTTGCTGCTAGTACCAGTACCAGTACTAGTACGAGTAGGAGTAATTGCTGGTACTGGTACTGGTGCTAGTACTCTGGCTGCTACGGCCACTACCCTTACTACTACTGCGACTGCTCCTGCTTGTGTCGCTGCCACGACCAGTGTTGCCACGACTAGTGCTGCCTTCGGCGACTTTCTCTACGACATGAGCTACTGCTTCTGCTGCAGCTGCTGAATTTCCACTCCAGTACGGCATCCTATCAATGACGAAGAATGCGGCCCAGACTCAGACTCGGGCTTTGATTTTCACATGGAGGCTCGTTAGGAAACCTTGCGGTCGGATCGAGGCCGCTTAGAAGCCTCTAGATCCGAACTTCAGCTTTTGAGCACGGCCCAAGTCGGGATGTGGCTCTGCGGGACTTGGCTCGCAACTCAAACGAGTTCAACAAGTACGTCGACGGCAAAAATCCAGCATGCGGTGAAACGTATTAAATCATGAATGTTATTTAGTATTCACTGATTATTTTGATATACAATAACATCGTCTTTCGGGTGTGCGCAACCATGGGCCCATTCCAGGTCGCCGTCGCCGAAGCCAAAGCCAAGCTGCGGATGCTGACCAAGGAGCTGCGCGGCCCGGGGACAGATTGAAGCGTAGCAGAACTCAGAAGTGGCCTGCCAAGACTGGGAGGGAGCTGCCCATTTCCTGCTCAAGTAGCCTACACCCTAGACCCCCCTAAACCCTAAACCCTAAACCCTAAACCCTAACCCCTGAACCCTAAACCCCCATCCTGGCTCCGAAGGAGAGCGACAGCCAGAAGAAGCTGCTTGAAGCCGAGGCAGAAGTTGTGCCGAATGGGAGGCTTACTGCAGGTGTGAATACCGTCTACTGCAGTATACTTTATTCTATATAGTCAGTTATAGTATACTCTAGTCTGACATACTATGCTGCCCTTTTTCTATAATATACTATTAGTTAATATAATACAAGTTCTTCTGCCAAGACTTATGAGGCGGAAGAGCTTCATGTTCGTGGTATACTTGGAGCCTTCGAGTTAGAGCTTGGGCAGTCAGCACCCAGGAAAGGGCGTCCGGCTCTGCGAATCAATGTCAAAGACGACTAGCCGAGAAGATAGCATTCAAATATTGATCCCAATAACACAGCAATACTAATAATACAATAATACTAACACTACTATTCATATTTCCGCTCGATTCTAATATTGGCCGCAGAAGTTTCGGACAACAACAGCTGTTCATGGGCTTCAGAACTTTTGCCCGACTCTGAGTGTTCGCGGAGCCGGGACTCTGCTTGAAATCGACCGATTCCACGTGTTGACCAGTATGATGTTGAGATGGCATGTGCCAACGCGACCACTGTTCATGTAAGGCTGATACTTTCGATCAAACTGGAGTTTAGGAGTAGGAGTTTTGGCATCACCCCATCTGCAGCGCTAGGAGCTTCGGACCTTGCGGCTGCAGGACCCGAGGGATTGCAGAGATCGTGTCGTAGAGCAACAGACAGCACAGAATGGCAGCACAGAGCTGGATAGTACCATGATATGTTTTCACTTGTCTTCGTAGCTTGCCACTCTTGCTCCGCGTAGAGCCCGGTGTATTCGACGCAAAGCAACATGCCGCAGACCAGTCCGGAGTGTTTTGGGCTGGTAGGTAGGCAGGTCAGCCAATCACTGAAGAGGTATTAGAAATCATGTCGAGCTTGTGAGCACAGTATTCTTGGGAGTGTGAGGTGTGAGGCATCTGCGTTGCAGCTCCACGATTTGCTAGAGAAGGTCATGTGGGAGTCAAGAGGTCACTCAAGAATACTCGTACGATACCAGAAGGCTCAAAGACAGAGGCTGTAACCGAGCAGGCATCCGCCAGAATAGCTGCGAATCCAGTCCTGATGTTGGGAATGCTCGCCAGGTAGAGAGGTTCTGAGGTTGAGTGAGATCCTACACGACTGCACAAGCCTCACTGCTGACCGGGTTTAGCAACTACAGCCACTACATGCTTGCCTGTCGTAATGCTACGTGTAGCGACGTGGTAGCACTGGTCCGGTACGGCATCTTGACAGACGCCCGGCTAATGTAGTCTTTCCACGACAAGGCAGGAATCAGGAAGCTCCAGAAAGAACGACAGCTTACCTAAACCCTTGAGCCCTCGACACCTGAACGATCGCCAGTCGTACATAGGAATACTAGATGGCACAATCGTTTTTGGACCATAGATTCTAATTAGATATTCTGCATGGGAAGCCCTCAAACAGGATGGCCAACGACAGCTCATGGACGAGCTGGCCGCTTCGGCTAGTGGGGCTATGGGCCTGTGGGATTTGGGATTCGGTGTTTAGGGGGCATTGAGCGGGCGGGCCGTAGCTGTGTAGCCATGAGTTCCAAAGCAAGCCCCGGGCAGTGCCGCAAAAGCGTGCTTGCCGCCCTCCAAGCTCTCCAGACGTGGATGCAAGAATTGAGAATTGGTTGGCAGGCATTTTTAAAGGTTGCGGGTTGTAGCTTCCTGCGAAGATGTGCATTCTTTTTGCCCCTTCCCCTGGAGCCTTCGTGTCAAGGATTTCGTGTACCTCAAGCAGAGACATGCGCAGCTGGAGCTGGACTTGAGTTCAAACGCCTATACCATCCCGGAAGTAACTAATCAGTGACCTTTGCACCCTTGTGGTTTCGCAAGTGACGGACGATGGGCTCCTATCATACTGCAAGGCAGAGAGCTAAGGGTAGCACCCGGATCACCACGTTCAAAATGCGTGCATTTGTGTTCGGCTGCATCTGCCTAGCGCCGAACTCCGGCACTGTGGCAGCGTCTAGCAGCAAGCACATGAAGAGAGACTTGAGCCCATCCCTAGCGAGATAAAGACATGTGGGGGGCCGCCGTCTAAAGTTACATTAGCTACTACAGGGCCTATAAAGCTTTCTTTAAGGGTTCGGGCCTGGCCGCAACGATAAGTTCAGTGCAGAACAGGTGGCAGGCCCCGGCCAGAGCTTGGGTTCCTCAGCTCTTGCAGAAGATCCCTGGGTGAACGGCCCGGGTACCTGCAGAGGGTCTCACTTCCATACTTCCGTGCCTGTCGACGGCATATGCAACAGCCTCTCGAAGAGAGGAGGGCCATTGGAAGAACCAGTGGTTCGAGGAGTTGCTGCTAGCCTCAGTGGAAAACAGGGTTTAGGGTAGTTGGGTTTTGGGTGTTTGTATTCGAGGATTTAGGGAATCAGAGTTTGGGGTTCAGGGTCTGGGGTATTCGGGTGGCTTCAAGTTCAGCATCCGGTCAACAGTTCGGAACAAAAACCAGGGTTGCAAGTAGAGCGTTCACGAGCAGCGACATACGTGAAGTGTCAGACTGACCCACAAAAGCTCCTCAACCGATTCACAGACAGATCCCTAACTCTCAGAAGAGCAAGATCTGCGACCCGCAGCTGTGGACTCGAAGCCATGTGGCTCACAGGACATGGCGTAAGCCATCGGGTGTCGCCTGAGGCAATACCGCCGCGAGTCGGTTGCCTCAGGCAGACTGGCGCTTGGGGGGCCTTCTGTCGGGAGAGGTTTGGAGGAAGAGCTTGCTGAAGATGATGTATGTAGCGCTATGTAATGCCATCTGATGTCGTGCGATGTGGTGCCATACTATGTAATACTCTGCAATGGAACGGTCTGTTATGTTACGATTCGTATTGTCACATAATGCTATGTAGTGTGAGGTAAGCCTACGTATTGTTCCTTTCCATCATGCTACGTGATGGTATGCCATGTTGTGTAACGTAATGCTATGTAATGCAATGTATTTCAGTGTAAGGCAATGCTATGCTGTGTGATGTTATGTAATGGTATGTAATGTTATGCAAGATTTTGTCGTGCTATGTGGTGCTATCAAGATTTACATATGTAATGATCTGTGCTAGCTCCATGAAATGTCATGTAATGTTATGTGCTGCTATGCAGATGATGCGGTGCCAGTGCTATGTAACGGTATTTAATGTCAGGTAAGGTAGGCATGCATGTATGCGTCACCGGAGGCTAGATTGAGTGCGAGCTTATGAGCGCAGTCTGCAGAGCAAGGGATTCAACAAAGGGCCGTTTTCAGCTTTGGGGTTGAGTCGAGGGTGTGCTTTAACCCCCCCAACCCGGAAAGTGTTGCTATCGGGAGTGTTGCATTCTGCGTTGCTCCAGGCACGGTTCCTGAATTCCCCGACGGATAGCCCCGAGCACCTTGACACGCGACACCTCGAAGGTTTTCAATGAAGCAAAGCGCCCTGCTGGGCCTGCTTGGGATCGCCCTGCTCCTGCCATGTGCAACGGCGAGGTCGGCCTGTAGAGACTGTAGGGCTGAAGGCATGGGTAGTTACTTGCAGAAATTGAGGTTGCTTGTGGGGAGAAATTCCATGGCATCCTCGGTGCACTTCATTGACCGCTTCGTAATTTGGTGTGTTGATGCTAGTGATGCTAGTGCTCGAACGGCTATTCTTGGCCATGCATGACAACCTGAACCCCTGCCAACACCATCTGTGCTTAATCATCAGCCGAACCTCTTTGCTCGTCGATTCTTCACTGTCACTCTTTATAGACTTAAGTGCGCCATGCACAAACCCGAGCATCGGAAGGAATTTTCTTGCTTGTGCGGACAGCACAGATGTTCAAAACCCAGGGCAGCTGAATGCTTCTACGCATCCCTTTGAGCCTGGGCTTGGGAGCCCTAGGTTTCTTAACACCTTTTGCCCCAAGAATTGAGGATGCTGTTTGACCCGAAACTCGAAGCCCTGAAGCTGCAAAGACAGAGTGTGGGTCGTTCGTGGCCTCGGCAACAGCAAAGCCCTGAAGGAAGCTGGGCTCCACAAGCTCTGCCCTGCAAGCCTCCGGCTGAAGCCTCAGGAGCCTGGGAGTTCTAAGAGATGCAGAATGCGGGGCATTTATGTGTGAATCTGTACGTCTGTGTAGGTAGGTTGGGGGGCAGGCAGGCAGGGAGGCAGGTAGGCTTAGGCAGGTTGGCAGGTAGGCAGGGACGCAGGTAGGTAGGTAGGCAGGTATGCTGTGGTCAACGGATGGTTCTTGTTCTTGTTTATTTGTGGTTGTAGCTGCCCAAGAACAGCAATTCAGCACTCTGTGGTTGAGTTCCGTTGTCTTCGAGTTTCGTACACCAGTGTCCATGGGTTGATGCCCTATCCCCCTGCAGCAGATTCTGTGCTCTAGGTTCGCAAAACCAAGTGTGCAGATTGATGGGCACGTTGCAAAACACCACCATTTTGTTGTTGACACAACTTTAGCCCGTATTGCCGAAGCGCCGTGACAGAAAACCTCGAAGCCAGACTGTGCATCTGCCTGTCAGGAAGATGTGGCTCATACCCCAGGCTTCCCGATCCCGACAATGGAACCCACCTTCGCGGCAATCCGACCAACATTCAATTCGCATCACGTACATGCTGAGGAATTCGCAAAAAACTTCAACAGTCAAAGGTCTTGCATTGCAACGCCTGCTTGGAATCTGGAAGCGCTGAGGCTTAGCACGTGGTCACGAGGGGGCACGCGGTCCCCTAGACCTCGATGCACTGGAGGTCGAAAGTCTTCAGTGCTTGACTGGCATGTCTGGCTGTTTAGGGCGTTTAGGGTGTGGACTTGACGGGCCATGGAGCCGTGTTTGGAATTTCACGATGCTGCTAGCTTGGGAGCCTGTCTGTCGACTCCCCTGCAAGTGGAGGTGTCAGTTCTCCGGCTCACCAATTCGAGCGAAAGTTCGAGGTCATACCTCAAACCGATGATCGACAGCAGCCTGGTGCAACATTCTGCCGAGTTCTTTCAGTTGAAGGAGCGACGACAGCAGACAACCCAATCGAACGTGCGTGATGAGGTATCCGGACGATGCTCGAGAAGGACCGCCCTTGAGCAAGGCTGCAGGCTTTACCCTTTGGACATTGCATACCTTAGCACGCACAGCCGTCTTGGAACATCCGTCGTGGAGCCTTGCTTCAGCCTTGGTCAGAGTGTGACTGTGACAGGAGCTGATGCCAGATATCTCCAGGCAGTACAGCCGCCGGGTAAGCATTGGAACTTGAGGTTTCCTAAGGCTGATGTCGCAGGGTGCGTCCAAACCCAGCAGAATCCTTGGCCACCTGACCCTCGCCAAAGTAGTGTGCCACGAGCGTGGCAGAGGAATGCCAGGCCTTGGAATTTAGGGTGGGGTTGTTGCACCCGTCTTCAGCCCCCTTTTCGCAACTACAGAGCCAGCTTCCAGCCTTACCTTTAGCTCCTTGGGCCTCGACCTGTTGTGCCCTGTGTGGGCAAGTTGGGTCTACTTGTATCGTGTTCTTGTAGCTCCGAGGCCTTGCACAGAAGATGTTGGACGATGCGGCCAAAGGCAATGGGGCTGGTTCTAGAAGTCCGTGCGGGATGCTGCAAGGTAAACTTATCTCCAACGAGTCAGTTTTCGACAGGCTTCGCCGCATGCAAGGAGCCGTGGAATGCCACGCAGGCACGAGCCCGGTTGGGCAGAGCATGCTAGGGTGTTGGGTCGTCCATTTGTTGCATTGGCTTTGATGTACATATGTATTATGTATATATGGGTGGTTGTCAAAATTATGGTCCCTTTTTGGGTCCTTATTATAATACGGCACCTATTATTTAGGGTACCCCGAAAGGAGCCATAATTTTGACAACTACCCATATGCACATATGTTTGTTTATAGGTACATGCAGCATGCATATATACATCCATACATACATAAATACACACGCACATACACATAGTTGTTTTTCGTGGTTGTGCTTCTAGTATTTGTCGATAGTGCCAGATGGTGTGTCCCATGTCATGTGAGTCGGTTTGCATGGTAAAGTCAAGTGCTCGGAGGCGGCACTCCGGCAATGTGCACACACGCACACGGAAGTTTCCACACTATGCACATATGCACATGTTCATATGTACATGCTATAAGTGTCAACACGCCCTACCAGGTAGCCCTACCATATTTTTGATTGGCTGCACGGTCTCCAGATGATTCTCCCACCTGATTTTCTGTTCCATCGTGCAAGTCCTTGATGTTGCAGTCGCTCTCCAAAAGCAGTCGTTGGAACACCCAAAGCCACGTAGACACGGCTAAGCGCTTGATAAGACCGCGGTGTTTCGTAAGATGCCATGCCATGACATGGTAGAACTACAAGCCGCTGGGACCTTCCTGAAAAAGCTGCACCCTCTGTACTGCACTGCCAAAAACTTTCCCACGACAAAAGCCTCCCTCCCCCCGAAGCCCGAAATCCAGACAAGGCGACGAAAACCAAGCCTGAACAGCAGAGGTGGGGGAAGTCCGGGAGCAGCACCAGAACTGCCGGAAGGAAGAGAGCAGCCTCGTCGTTGATGCGAGCCTGGGCTCTGCAGTAGATTGGATTTCGGAAGGACCACTCTAAATAGTAGGATCCTGGTAGTTGATGGTAAGCACGCTTGAAGAAGGTGCCCCTGCCTTTTTGGGAGCGGAAGGCCTTGTGTTGCAGCCTAGGGCTCGGAGATCTACCGACTCGGCAGAGCCAAGGAATGACACCTGCGACGACGCTCAAGTCCTTGCGGAAGTCAAAGTACAGAAGTGCGAGAAAATGAAAGGCTCGAGCTCGGTTAACTCTGCTGTCGATTCTGCAATCAAAGCTGCTTACGCACCACCTGCTCGCGAGGTGTCGATGCATACCCGCCGGAGGCCCCTGCAGTTTGTGACAAGGCCGGTCATCTTGATGTAGACGATAGATACCTTTGCATCTTTCCTGCTGACAAGAAGCCGGACTGGGAACACGATGGAACCAGTTTAGCCTTCATGGATGGAGGAACGCCGTTTCCGGTGGTGTTACCGAGAGAGGAAACGCAATTGTGAGTTTTCCATGTCTTCAGCAATGAGAAGAGAGTCGTGCTGTAAACCCTAAATCCAGACCCTCGAAAGTCCTTCTGCGCGTATCACGCCGACTCAAACCTGTGGAACCTCGTCTGGCTTGTCCGAGTTGTGAGAGCGTAAATCCAGACCTCTGATCTAGTCAGCCAAGCACATTGGAAAAACACCCTTACAGTCAATCATGTACTCGTACCATCTTTGGGACCAAAAACCTCATCTGGCTGAGTCCGAGTTTGAAAGCTTGAGCCCTTGTGAGTGCCGAAGCTTGCAGAAGACGAGACGTCTGCTTGGCCAGGACTCGAGCGACGTGTCCTACGAGGTGCATGCTAGGCGTGTCCGGAACTTCTACATGCAGATGCTCGGCGAATATGCCCGCCTGTTTCTCACCCGAGATTTGCCGTACTGTGGAGCCTCCTAAACAATCGGGAATAGCTGTGTGGTCTGGCATGTCCTGGTATGCCGTAGAGTACAGCAAAGCAGCAGTGTGGAGCAAACTGCAAGGGAGACTGCATGCCTATGCAGAATCTGAATCCACCATGGAGCCCCGACGCAACAAATCTGGATCCAAGGAAAATCTCCCTGAAATGTACACTGCTCCCTAGTTTAGGCTTTGGCGTACCCGCGATGTTTGCAAAGCGGTTCTGACCTTGAATTAAACGGGTCACAGTTTTTTTAACAAGCAGTACATGTTCGAACTTCGAACGTGCGCTTTTTTGGGGCAGGGCAAGCTTACAGCCCCTCCCCAAAAAGCAATGCTCGACTGCGCTGGAGCTGAGGAAAGTTCATGATGGGCGCTCAGTTGCTCCAGGGCACCAGTGCATCATTCTTGGGAATGTCCGTAGCCGTCGTCTCTTCAGGTTGTTCTTTGCAGGTTCCGAGAGCTGGAAGTCTGGCTAGCGTCGAGTTCTTCAGCTACGAACTTGCCAGATAAGGAGTGGGTCATGGCAGAGGAGGAGTGCACTAATGCTACGCAGAAGGCAACTGCAAGAAGCAAGACCTGCAAAGTTCGCAACGATGCCTGCTTACTTGGAATTTCATTTTTTGTGTCTCGAGAGTTGGGGTCAGTTGTGTTTCTTGCCTTCCTGCTGGTAGATGAGGGGGCTCCAAGGACATCCAAACAGGCGCGCTAGTGGTAAACCCGAGAGTTTACATGAGTTTCCTCGGCGTCTTTCTGAGGACGGCTGGAAAGACAAGCGTGCCTTGGCTATTTCAGAGGAGAGCCTGTCGGAGTAATGACCCCCGATGTACCATCTTCCTGTACACATGTACCACTGTGGATGCAAACAGAGCACGTACGCAAGCATCCGTGCATGCAAGGATATGTGTCTGTCTGTCTGTCTGTCTGTCTGTCTGTCTGTCTGTCTGTTTGTCTGTCCGTCGTCTGTCCTTTTCTACCTGTCTGTCCGTCCGTCCGTCGGTTTGTCCGGCTGTCCGTATTGTATTTATGCCAGCATGCATGTACGTACGTATGTATGTATGTATGTATGTATGTATGTATGTACGTATATGCATATGTACAGTACATATGTATGCGTTCATGTATACCTTAAGTAACTTGTTCATCATGATACGCGAGGTCGCGCAGCGTCATGCTGATGGTGCGAGGTGGATCTAGCTTATGAAGTTAATGTCTTATATTATATGGTAGCATATGCAAGCACGCGAGGAATGTGTTTCTGTTCTGTTCGGGAGAGGGTTTAGCACAACCTGCCACGGCTGGGTCAGCTTTGGGGTAGCCTCGGGCTGTTCCAGCCTCAAGAGCCGTCTAGTATTTGTGTGCTGGATACAACCATACAAAACCCTCAGCGAGAGAGTGCATGGGCAGCATAGTCAGTCTCGCACAACAGAGACATCCCTTTTCGGGAAGAGACGAACATGTGTCACTGGGAGTGGGGAGGGTAAGTGCCATGCCGAACCATCACTGTGGAAGAAGCATTATCAGCTGGTGACTTGCTTTTTGGACTTTGAGCTCCGAGATCCGATGCTCAGGCCAATCTTGCAATGCCATCCAGAGGACAAGTAAACCCATGCCACTTGCATCTTCTCCCTGAGGCCCAGAACCCCACGGTAAGATCCCTACAGACTTGTTGCCGACTCACTACAAGACTATCCTGGGAGGATGCTGGACATGGAGGCCTGCGATGCCTGGACGGAGTGTCTGGGCTGTGCCGCGAGAAAAGACAGCCTTCCTGGAAGATCATGATGCTGTATGATATACTATCAGAATAAGATAGGATAATACATTTTGGATAAACATAGTGTAATAGAGGACAGTTTGATGTAGGAATAGTCTATAATGTATTACATCCCTCTATACCATAAGTTCGGATGCTGTTGCTTGCGGTGGTCTACTGCCATACTGGAGTCGGACACGAGCCAAGGTACTACCACTGCTCGCAGAACAACTCTTGTCTCCTGGAGGCGACCAATGCTTTTGTGGATGTGGCGGCCTTAAGCATTCGTGTTCCGTTTCTCCAATTCTTTCGGGTCGTGGTTGTCGCGAAGACGAAGCTCCAGTTCCTTGTAATGCTTTGCAGTTGTTCACCCAGTCAGAAGACCCTTCGGCAGCGCGGCAATCCCAAGGCCAATGGCACTGCGACTGCCATGCAGCGATCCATTGTGTTGCAGTGGAGGGCCATGAAACGCCAGAGCCCTGAATTCAGGGCATTCGCATCGCAGGGTTCATCCGTCGTACTTACTCCATGTGCCTTTGAAATGCTTCGTGATTCAGGAGGCTTGCATATTTGCAGAGAAGACTGCAAAGCTAGTGTGCCGCTTCGGGCCATGCTGGAAACAAGGCATCGAATGCCTGCTGGATGCTCTGGAGAACAATAGACAAGCGGATGATCTCAGCAATGCCATCACCGAGTGCAGGCGCCTAAGGGCCTAATTTTCGAGTGAATAAGTGCCCATAAGCAGGTTTGGACCGTCCAGGAAGCAATGCAGAGCTTGTCGCACTGTCTTGACAGCCCTGAGCTCCGATCTCAAAGCCTTGGTGTCTGCAGGAACAAAGTGCACAGCACGACCTCTTGGGCCTTGACTTATCCATACTACAAGGAGTCTCGGCAATCCGAATTCAGAGGTATCGACCGAATCTCTTGGTAGAGTAACAGTAGCAGTAGCAGTAGCAGTCGCAGTAAGTAGCAGCAGCAGTA